GTATATATTTTCTTTAGGGCAATTCAATCATGATAAACCAAATCCAACATTGCTGAGAGCATGAGGTAAGCGAGATATAAAATTAAAAGTATTAAAAAAACTTTAAATATACAATCCATTGGTTTAAAAGCAAAAAAAAATGTTTTACTTAATCGTGAAAATACATTTTCCCGATTTTTAATTTTAAAAACATAAACAAACAATTTGAATTTTAACGTGTAGCTAGAAACTGTTTAGAGACCTCTAGTGACTTTAAATGGAACTAAAATAAATAAACAACTTCCTTTTTAACAGAAAAAAATTTAAGCGCCATCTTTATAATTATTTATTAACTGGTTTTTTTTTTTAAATAAAAACTCGAGCTTTCGAGCTTACTTATTTGAAATTCCTGTCCGTTTTGCAAAAAAAAAAAATGATTATAATAATAATTTAAACGATGAAAAATTGGTTAAAACTATTTTCTCGATTTAATAAAAAAGCGGGTCTCGTTTCTATAACTCTAAACGAAGCAAAAACTATATTTAAATATTTTCAAAAGAAAAATGTCGCCAATACGACGATCAAATAACGCATAAATAATAATAATAATAATAATAAATTTATAATTATGCTTTTGATTTTTTTTTGTTACCAATTAATAAATAATTTTAAATCTAAATGACTTTGTTAGGTCAAAAAAAATTTACGGGCGTTCATTTTTTTTATATTAAAAAAGCTCAAAGAGAAGAATAATCAAAATGAATTATTATTATTATTATTATTATTATTATAGTAGACACAACAGAGCATTTTATTCTTTAGAACTCATTCAAGCATGAAAATGTAATTTATTTATTAAGTACGACAATCTGACACAAAATTTTTTTTTCCTTTGACGTTCATTAAAACAATAATGAAAGTTTTAATCAAGATTCAATCATGTAAATTATTAATAGAATATTATTAAATAAATAATACTATACATAAAACTATTATTTTTCCCGTATTTGAAAATTAAAAAAAATTATTATTTTTTTAACTATACTTTCCTACATTTGAAGTTTTTAATGAAAAAGTTTATTAAAATCAATTTAACTTAATGTGGTGCCATCTTTTGCGTATTTAATGAATTAATAAATTAAATCGAAGTTTCAATTTAGTTGTTTCTTGTTTCTTAATAAGATTTCATGTGTTAAGTTTTACTTTTGAATTTTTATTATAATTTCTATTTGAATTCTGCGGCACATTGAAACATATTCATTAACTTATAAAAATTTGTTAAATACAATTATTTCTTTTACATAACTTTTGTTCATCGAGTGTTTTTCTTTTTTTTTTTTTTTTTAATTATATGTTATAAGTTTTTCTTTTCTTCTTATATTATCAACAAAAAGTAATAGTTGAAGTCAAAAAAAAAAAAAAAACCTCCTAAATAAAAAGGTAAGTTTTGCCAATAGTTATAGTTTAATAAGTGAAATATTTGTCATTTTCTCCTGAAACATAACCCTTTTTGTTTGTTCTTTTATAAATTCAAAGATAAGTTAAACAAATATAAACATAAATATTACTGTTTTTTTTTTATTGTGTCAAATATTTTGTGTAGTTTTTTCGCATATTTTTTAACCGCACCTGTAACCGATTTCAACAAAAAAATAATTATAGTTACTTTTTTTTTTGGGTGGTGGTATATTTTAATAATTTTCATATGAGTTTTACATTTGTCTGTTCAAAATTCAATATATATATGTATAATTCCATGAGAGAAACTTGAAGTATATTTCATTTTTACAAGCTTTGATTAATTATTTACATTTAATTATAATTTTGTATCTGTTGAATACAAATTATAATAGCAGTAATAACAATAATAATATTAATAATAATAGTAATATTAATTGAGGTTCAATTATGTAAACACTCGATTTGAAAAGTTTTATTATTTTTCTATTTAATGTACTTGTGTATATTCAATTTATTGAAATTCAATTCTCAATTATGCCATTGAAAGCTTTTACAAATATTATTTATTATATGAGTTCACATAAAACGATTTGTTGTTGGTTTTTGTTCGAAAGCATTTTTTCAAAGGAACATATTTGATTTCAGATTATGTCAATCAATATA